GAAGAAAGTAGGTGGAGTGTGATGGTTACAGCTGAGGGGGAGCAACAAGTTGCTTTGGTTGTGATGCGTAATAACATGGGGAAGAAAAGTGAAACCAAGAAGGTTGATGATAAAGACAAGTTGTTTTGTACCCAATGTCGTCGCTCACAGCATACACATGACACATGTTGGGACATTCACGGGAAACCCAAGTGGGTAGTGAAGAACCAAGAACAAGGTAAAGGGCAAGGTCAGAAGAAGATGAACACAGCACATAATGCAGCACATGTGGCAACCCAAGATACTCAGGTTGCCAGTACTACCCGGGACCACCTTAATAATTCTAACCCCAAGGAAGATATAATGAATTCCTTCAGAGACCACTTGGAGTCTTATGGCAGGGCTTTGCGACAGATGGATAGCTCAGTCACTGGTACTCCTACTTCATTTGCATCTACATCAGGTAATACAGCTTCTGCATTCCATGTCACTCCCACTGGTTCCCCTTGGATCATTGACTCAAGGGCCTCTAACCACATGACCGGTAAGTTGAACTTGTTTCAAACTTATAGCCTTTTGTTAGGAAGCGATAAGGTGAGGCTTGCAGATGGCTCATTCTCCTCCATTGCAGGCCAAGGATCAATATCTCTTTCCCATAGCCTTAACCTGAATTGTACATTGCATGTCCCTCAACTTCCTATAAATTTGTTTTCAATTAGTAGTATCACAAGCTCTTTAAACTACAGTGTAACCTTTTTTCCTGACTCATGTGTTTTTTAGGACCTAACTTCTAGGAGGACGATTGGTAGAGGGAGCTTAGTGGATGGTCTCTACATTCTCGACAATAAAACTGGTCTCTCGGTGTCATCCTCAGATTCACATAGACAATCAAATAAGAGTCATTTTTTTTTTGTGGCATAGTCGGTTAGGTCATGTTTCTTTTGAAATAGTAAACTCTTTGTTTTCGGTTTTATTTAAGTCGTGTTCAGTGTCAGAGTTCCAGTGTCAAACGTGTTAGTTGAGCAAACAATGTAGAACAACTTTTCACTCAAATAATAAAAGATCAAGTGTTCATTTTCATGTTGTGTATTCTGATGTATGGGGGCCTACTACTGTAATCTCTAAGGGCGGAAATAAGTACTTTATCACATTGATCGATGATTAATCTCGCTATACATGGGTATTCCTTATGCGTAGTAGAGATTAAGTTCCAAATATTGTGAAAGACTTCCAGAGGATGGTATTTACGCAGTTCCATGTTGAAATACAGATCTTCCAATCCGACAATGCAAAAGAATACTTCCATGGTGAGCTCAATGAGTTCTTTGCCTCCCACGGATCTATTCATAGGAGCTCATGTGCCAGAACACCACAACAAAATGGTGTTGCAGAAAGAAAA